TTACCAGTCATCTTTAAAAAAAAAAAGGATAGAATCAATCCTGGAGGACCGTGGTGTATGGAATACCACTTTAAGATAAACAAAAGGATTCAATGAATGCAAAATTGTCACAAGATTCAAATGTTTCTCTGGGCCATAGAGCCTCAGTTCAAAGAAGTTGGTGGGAACTTCACAAGGCAGGCCTGTTGAGGGTTCTACTGAAGAAAAAGGTACCAAGTTGTGTTTGGATTTAAATCTCCTAGCATCACCAATTTATTTTACTTGTTCATCCAGTAAGACACCAAAACAGATAAGGGTCTGAGATTTTTCTGATTACCAAAGTTAGTGATTTATGCAGTGATGGATTAGGTTAAAGCAAAACCTAATTCTACAAATTAAATGAAAAGCACAATGTCTTCCATCCACTGGTGAAAGTTTCAGTCCAGGGGCCGGCCCGGTGGCGCACTGCTACAGTGCGCCGCTTGAGAGTGCGGCGGCGCTCCCGCCGAGGGTTCGGATCCCACATACAGACCGGTTTCCGCTCACTGGCTGAGCGAGGTGAGGGAGCAACACCGAGGGTTGCGATCCCGTGCCGGTCCCGGTCCGGGCGCGACACTGAGGGTTGCGATCCGTTGCCGGACACGAAAAAAGACAAAAAAAAAAAGTTTCAGTCCAGGAATATTAAACAGGAAAGATGTATTTAATACTGAATAAATACCTTAGGAAGAAGTTTGTGTTCAATAGCAAAGAAAGAACTGTGACTATCTCATGAAATTTCTTGCTTCTTAGTACACTAGAGAACTTGCATGATTTTGAATTTAAATTAGATATTCCCCACCTGTATGCTCAAAGTTCCTGCCCTTCAGCCCCTTCTTCCTGTTATCTGACTGAGGGAAGTACCTAGCCTAGGATTTGTTTTTCTCCAAGCAACTATCTTGATACCATTGTTTATTTTAATTGTAACCAGGACTCAATCAAAGTTTTTGGCTTTATAATGACCATTCCACAGTTCTCACCTCACACCCTCCTTCCCTGTCACTGTACTTGTTATCTGCGTAGACACTGTCCATCACCCTTACCCATCAGTATTGCAACCTGTTTTGAGTACAGGATCCATTTTTCTCCCTTTTACCTCACTAGCCCTGGCACAGTACTTAGCAAAAAGTAGCTCAATAAATACTGGTTGACGGAAGCAAGGAAGAGAACTGGGCATTCTGTGCAAAGCCTGTCTCAGCACGAGAAAAAAAGTCTAAATACTCAGCAGAATGGCAGCTCTCAGTCACCTTTCCAGAGTTCCTCTCTCCAGCCCAAGAGAGCAACTGTGAACCCCAGGTCTCCCAATGTAAAAGGAATAAAAGTAGCTCTGCAAAAAAAGCCTTTTGCAGGGCCAGCCTCGTGGCTCACTCGGGAGAGTGCGGCGTTAGTAGCACCCAGGCCGCGGGTTCGGATCCTATATAGGGATGGCTGGTGCGCTCACTGGCTGAGTGTGGTGTGGACCACACCGTGCCGAGGGTTGGGATCCCCTTATCAGTCAAAAAAAAAAAAAAAAAAAAGAAGCCTTTTGCAGCACATGTTGTAAGAGATGAGGGAGGAGGTACCATAGGGTTCCATCTAGAAACTGTTAATTTTCCTTTGGGAGAAAAGTCCATGAGAGGGTTCTTGTGTATGGGCCAGTTTGGGGCCAATCAATAGCATTCTCAAAACATTCTAAAACACAACTTGTACTGGCTGCCTTTAGCCTAAGCCAGCTTTCTAACAATCCTAGCCAGACAGTTTTTACCGTTTTTTTTTTTTTTAGCAGCTTCCAGATTACACTACAACTAGCTTTGCCAAAAATTAACTCATTTGTATAGGGGAAAAAGTGCCCCTTCTCCCACTTTCCACAAGACATAAGACACTCAAAATCTACACTTTCTTCAACTTGCCCAGCATCAAATATTGCCTGTCTGGTATAAATGACTACTGGAGTCCACATACTATCTTTGGCCTGTCTCAGACCCATTAAAAAGTCTTTTTTTAAGTTAAAGAGACCAGAGAACAAATTGTTGAGGCCAATAATTTCTACCCTGACAAAGCAGTTACCAATTGGACAAGGCTTGTGTCCTGTGTATGTTCTACCAGTTATATTGCTTAAAAAATTATGAAATCCCATTTTCTTAGACCAAATGCGGCCTGTGGTCAAGAACCCCATTCTGCCTATTTCCCAAAGTGAATCAGCAGCATTGTTATCAACCCACAGATAAGGAATGAAAGGGAAAAAAGGCGTTTCATTAGTAACAGAGAACTAAGGAAGCCTTCTAATTATAAATTTTTTCTCATGTATTTAAAATAATCAGCAGCCATATAGGGATGACTCCAGTTTACCAGGGGAGACAAGCAAAAACTGCTATTGAAAAGTACAGTTGAGGGCTGGCCCATGGCTCACTTGGGTGAGTGTGGTGCTGATAACACCAAAGCCACGGGTTCGGATCCCTATATAGGGATGTCTGGTTAGCTCACTTGGGAGAGCGTGGTGCTGACAACACCAAATCAAGGGTTAAGATCTCCTTACCAGTCATCTTTCAGGGGAAAAAAAAAAAGTATAATTGGTGAAGCTGTATAATGGGTACAAGGTCATTATACTATTCTACTTTTGTGTATACTTTAAAATTTCCATGTTAGAAAACCATAATACATCAAAAACTTTTTTTCTTAATGTAAGTTTATACCAAGCAAAAGAAAAAAAAAATGACATGTTATCAGCCTCTTCTGTTGCCTCATATCAAAATCAGGGGCCAACCAGGGCACCTTCCTTCTCTAGTCCATTCTTTTCATGCTCTTTCCAAGTACTTTTGTATAACCACTAGAAGATGCCAGTGGGGAGAACCAGCTTACCTAAGTAGAATGGTGCTGAAAATAACCCAGGCTAGATATTAGTAAGTTTTAAGGAGAGACTTCGGAAAATTCTTGAGATCTGACCTCAAGATTGCAAAGCTGAACTGCCATCGAAGATTACTGCTTCAAGGGAAATCTTTGCACAATGTTCCCTGATATAATAAAAACTTAAAAAGACCAACATACCCAACTTAGGGTATGTGAGTAAGTCTATATATGCTTTTTAACTAGTTTGAGCAACACCTTTACCGTTTTCCTCCTAGAAATAATAAGATTCACCAACAAAATTTATTACACAAAAACGTATATGGACTTCTCAATGCCGATGGACTTTATCAAGTCAAGCTACTTAAAAAGTAAAACTTAAAACAATTGGAATGAAGCTGAAACTAAATGTTAAAGTATCTTTTCTACTGTGATTTTGCACTGTAATGGGGAAGGGGACTACAATTTCTCTGGCTGCAGTCTAAGAGAATCACAAAAAAAAACTCAGGTATCAACATTGTCTTCATGAATACTGTAGCAAGCAAATCTGATTTTTAAGGGGTTAGTCCTTGAGGAGACTGACATCCAACTCTGGGCTTCCAAGTTCCACAGGTTGATTCACCATTCTATTACACCTGATTTTTATATGCTCTTAAATCAAAGCTTTTAAAATTAAGCCTGGAGGTTCAAGTTAGCATAAAGCGGAATGGTAAGTAGTTTTTAGTCTCTACTGGGGAAAAATTCGACTGGCGCAGCTCGAAACCACTGCAAGTTTACTGGAAGTGATTCCTCAGATGATTCCTTAGATGATTTTGAGGAAAATCCCAAAGCTCCTGATGACCCCTCACCTGGTTGAACTCCTCGTCAGCGTATATATCAATCAAGTCAACTCCTTCTGACATGGCTCTGGAAGGAAGATCGCGAGCCCGGAGAATGGACAAAGTAAGAAAGATGCCACTGCGGTATTCAGAAAAGGACAAGAATTAGAAGGCATGAGAGTCCCGGGCTGGGAGGAGGGCAATGGTTGCCAACCTCCCGTCTCTAGAGACGCAGCATCCCGACAGCCCGAGCTCGGCCCCACCCGCTCCGCCCCGCCCCCGGCCTCGCGCCGCCCCCCCGCTCTCCCAG